AAACTATTAGTAACCCAAGCAAGGAAATAAAAAAAGGTGGAAGATGGGGAGATAATTGTAGGTAACTATCACTCCTGAAATCCTTCTCATCTTAACAAGTAAGATGCACTTAAATACGGAAAATCTTTGTTCTGTGAGGGAGCTAAAAAATAATTATTTCAGGAAATTATAAGTGTATTTGGCGGTGAAAACAAGAGGACTTTCCACTTGTGATTGTAGTCTCAATCAAGTGTGGGTTTGGAGAATTTGATTGCTAGTACAATGAATATATTTTCAGAACTTCTAGTATTATAACATCTGCAAGAAAAACAGAAGAATCGAAGAAGGTAGAGAAGATTTTAAAGTATTACTTGATGTAAAAATCGTAAAAGGAATGAAGAATAAAATAATACTTGATACAAATCCATATCATTATAGGGCAACAACAGACTCCCTATTATCCTGATATTGAATAGTCACAAGTGTCTAGGTAAAGTTTTGTATTCTATTTACATAATTTAATATATATATTCTCTCTTTCCTTCCCTTCCCACCTATACTAACTGCATATAAATTAGCACCTTCAACATTTTGTTGCCACCTCAGCCACCACGATTAAATCACAAACAGCACAATGACATTAACACAATCAACATCTAAAAATGTCAATAATACACGAGCAGCAGCCATAATAGAGAAAAGGGGCGAGCAAGGATTGGTAATGAGGCTTAAAATGCCTTCTCCAACTCAAAGGCATGGCCATCATCCCAAACCTCCAATGTTCAGTTATCTAAAGTCGGATTCTGAAATGGTTTGTGATAGGTTACAGTCCAGTCAATTATCTTACCCAAACCGGAAATATAGAATTTGACAATATCTCCTGAATTTGATTTCTTATTTTCCAGGCCCTTTTCGTACTGGCAAGCTCATTTTGGTAATTCCAAAATTGGGTATTGGCAAATTAGGATACTGGTTTGCAGGAATTGGATCCAGAAATCTGTTGGGTTTTTCCCATATTTGAAGGGGGGGGGGGGGGGGGGGGGGGGTAAGCAAGAAGTTGGGGATGGTGTGATGAGGTTGCCATGGTGGTCACAACAATGTTGACATAGTTTTTGCAATGGAGTCGAAAAGTGACTGAGGGTGACGTTAGCAGGTAAGCAATGCTATCCACATTCAGCTCCTCTTTTCATGTGTTGAAATTTCATTAATATTGAAGGCCCTATCCGTGTTCAAGGTGCATATATAAAGAAAATTCTCACCTCGCAAAATCGTCAAAAACCCCATGCTATAAGCAAGTAGAAAAGGCAATAAAGTCCATGGAGCAAAATGAAATAGAACAAACAGAATACTTCTCAATTTCAACAAAATATTTGAACCCAAAAACTCTCCATTTCCACTCCAAAATATCCGCATTAGACAACAGGGAGCTAATTGATACTTATGCCTCTTAACAAGACCCCAGCTTTCGTTTTCCCAATGTAGTTATATTTTAACAAATGCTACTCATTTCATTCATAACCTAACATTTTGTACTTAAATAGTTGACTCCTCTGCTCTCCTTTGGCATCATATTTTGGACTAGTACTCAACACTTTTTGCTTCTAAATGCTACTACATTCATTACTTAGATCTTTATTCAATAAAATCTGTTCTTTTTTTCACTTTAATGATATTTAATTATTTCATCAAGGATAGTTCCAACTGCACACCCCTACACTTTGAATTGTTGGATAGTACACTTCTCTTCTAGCAAGGCATACTTCATCCTTCGGATCATCTACTTCTCTACTTGCAGAAGGTATTGTTAAATAATTGTGCAAGCTCGACTTCTAAAGCATCCACATTTTAACATGGAAAGCAACAAAAGAAGCAGGAGAGGACGAAAATAAATGAAATGCTCAAATCTCCTTGAGGTGAATCATCTATAGCAACATTTTATACACCAAAGCTGGAAGCACCTATATAATATTTCTGAAAAATCGATAATGACCGCATGTCACTTCAGTTCTGTGTAAAATAAAAGCATCAATTTTGATCTATTTCTACTCAATATTAAATGTAAGCTATTCTTAACAAAATCATTATTATACTTAAATCCTCCTTTGAGAGTAAATTTATACATAAAGTCTGAATTACAATATAATATACTGATTCCAGTTAACCTTGAAAATGAAAGTTCTACTTCATCCACCGCAAGATAGTGCTTTAGTTAACATCCTCCCTAGGTACATAATAAAATCGCACACCAGATTATCAATGGCAGTCTGTCATCGAAGTACTTAGTCCTTATTGCAAATTAACTGTCCGTGGCACAAAGACCAATGCTTAAGCATCTGGTGTTAAGATATATTCCACTGATGTAAAGATGATTTAGCAGAAAATCCGAAATAATTCTCCTTGAAAGCCTCTACCAAAATTCAACAAGTCAAACCTCTATTCCTTGGAGCATTAAAACCGTATGAACTTTCATATAATGGAAATTGCCGCAGCAGCACATTAACACATTAACCAAATCTATCTTCCTATTTCTTTAAATTATCTTTTGAGTAAAGAAACTCTGTTGAAGTAAATTGAGCAAAAACTACTGATTTCACTACCATATACAAGCAAATCATTTGAAAGCCTAGAAAACATCGCATCGATTCATTATATACATCCAATAAGCACTTCAAATTAATCAATAAGGAAACAACATAAAGATTGCTAATACAAATAACCATAGAATAAAGGAAAGCTACGACAATTACCCAAAAAAAAAAAAATCACTATTCCTACTCCAAAATCAAAGAAACGTGGAGACAAGTTTGAAAATATTAAGTTAAAAATATAAATTGCACAAAATTCATTCTCGAAGTCTGAAATAGTTCCACACAATTCCGTACACTAACTTAAAAAACCAGATATTTCACTTCCTGCATAACCAGACGACAGCATAAAACAATTAAGAGGAACGAAAGAAGAGAAACCTAACCCCACCGTAATGAAAACGATAAAATTAATGATTCACGGACGGTTGATTTCCATGACGTTCTTCTCCCTAGGCGCGTAGAAGGAATAGACAACGGCCTGACGCTTGGCCATGCCGAGCTGGGACTTTCCATCAGAGAAGGCGGCGGCGGCAGCCGACGGGTCTGAGAGGTTACGGTTGTGGCGGAAGGCATCGATTGTGCGGCGCTTGACGTACTCCCTCATGTTGTAGTCAGTGAATTCACGCGACGTCCTCAATAGTGACCGGAAAAGTGAGAGGACTTCGCTCCGAGCAGGCAGCGACGTCATTTTTTCTTCTTCTTTTTGCCTCACTGAACTTTCAAACGATTCTTTTGTGCCAGAGAGACTAACATGTAGATAGGGAGATATTGCACAATCGGTCCCTAACTTTTAACCTTTAATAACAATTTAGATTCCAAACCTAAAAAGTTAAAACACTGTAATCCTCGACCGTCGCTGATATTTCACGAGCCGTTTTGGACTCTTTATTATATTAGAAAGAAAGAAACGACTAATTTGTCATTGAAATGGCACGTGCTTTTTTCGAATAAGATTAATAACATACAAATAATTTTAATTAAAAATAAATAAAAAGAGAGAAGGAAAAAATATTGCTCTCCACCTCACTTTCATTTTTGAGTTCTAACCCAACACAAAAAGTCTTTACTAACTCATATCATGATTTTCACACGTATTCTACCCTTTTCAACTCTTTCCGTTCGACTTTCGATTTCAAATTGTTTCACATTATTTAATTTGCATCCGAAGGACCCCTTCTTCCCAAAAATCCAATATTGAGAGACATGTTTGACATACCGCGTAAGTTGGCATGCAATCCTACTCAAGAACCAAGACATTGAGATAGATAACTATGAACGTTGGATAAAATATCGCCCCTTCTACTTCACTTTATTCCATCGGATAAGTTTTGATGTTGTAGCCTGTACTTGTCCTATCCATAAATACTTTACCTGGATTCCTCTCATCTTTCCTTCACATCTCCTCGTCCTTGCACAATTCGAATACGAAGATCCTAAACTTTATTTCTAAAAATAGTACGATAGACCTGGTTCAAAAACTCCGTGAATCAATTACTCCTAAAATAATTAACAGTTGAAGTTGAAAACTGACTCCAATAAAAGTTACAGAATTGCGAAAAGAGGTAAAAAGTTAAAGACCCCTACCATGATTTTCCCTTTACAATGTAACTACAAAGAGCATGTAGTATAGATCAATTGTGTAGGTAGCTCATTTACGCGACCCACAAGTGGGGTGAGCATCAACCAAACTTGTTTTACAGCTCAGTCGTGTGTTTTCTCAAAGTACAAAAATGGTGACAAAATCTGATCAGGCAGACCCTGATTTAAGACGTTATAGATCTAAATTGGCATGTGCGCACAAGGGCAAACACACTGCTCTCGGAGACTACGGTGTCAAGGCAAAATCAATTTTTGACTGTATGTTTTGATTTTCATTTCACTCAGAGGCAGACATTGGGACGCTGCCAATCTATGGGCATCTGACTTGCGTAGGCCTGAAACACGCTTAGCCAAAGAACGAGTAGCACCTGCTTCGTCAATCGTAAGCAATCAAGAATCATCCAAATTTTAGGGAAGCATGACCAGTTTCTCCTATATGCTTGTGCAGTTTATTCCTGTTGCAAGAAAATTGAAGATTTTGAATGATGAAAAATACAGGAAGAACAAAAAAACTGAAGCAATGAATACCTTGATTCAAATTCCTTCCCACACTTCTCACAGACATTGCCAGATGCTTTCGCTGCCACCTAAATCAAAATGCAAAAAACCAGTAATCAATTAGAGATGAAACATAGCAATCTGACTTTGAGCATGCTCGGCTAAGCTTAACAACTGAAAAAAGTTATGTTACTTAAAAGGAACTTTTTGCCCAAAAATGTTTCTATAACTTATTTTAAGTTAAAATGTGCTATCGTTAGATAAAGTTGTGATTCAGTTTAATAATTAAGTGTACTTTAGTCTTTTTCTTAGTTAGGGTTACAATCTAGGTTATGTGCTTCTTTTCATTATTGAATAATATGACTTTGTTTAGTTTTTTTTTTTTTTTTACTCTCTAGACTAGCAAATTATTTCCTGAACATTGTTACATCAGTTCATAAGAGACCAGAACTAAAAGTTTCTTGCAAGAATTGATATATTTCTAGATAGGAAGAAACACCTAAAAGAAAAACAACAATTAGTTGGAGAATCTGCTGATGGTCCCATGTTGAGGAGTGTTTTGTCCCAGATATTCTCAAGTAAAATCAGTACATTATTAGTAATGGTTGAACATTCCGAGGACAAGACGGTAACAAAAAAATCATGTTACAAATACATGTTTCCTATAAAGCACAGCAAAAGTTGAAAGACTTTAATAGCTAAAGTTCAACAGAAAATCAGTTAACCAAATTAACAGTACATTACCTTTTGTTTCCTCCCTTTGGGAGAAACCTTTGGTTTGGAAGCATCAGACTTCTTTGTTGTATTTTTATTATTCACAGCTTGCTGTCGAAGCTTATGACCCCTTTCTGATTCATCATCTCCTTTGCCCTCAGCGGCAGATTCTTGTAGAGGATGGGATGTTGACACCTCAACATGGGAGTCATCATCTCGTCCATTCTGTTCCTCAGTCTCGCCATTATCCTCTGCAACATCAGCTCTTATTTTTTCTTCTTCTGGAACATGGGTCGTCTCACCATTAGCCTGCGTAACATCGGCTCTTATTGTTTCTTCTTCTTGTGTTCTACCCCTCCGCCTCCTGCCTCCCTTGTTCCTTCGAGAACCCTTCATGTTGTTGTACTCCATGAAATCCATCTCATCAACATTGACCTCCATCTGAATTTTCTTTTCAGAAGCCTTGGTCTGGTGCCTTGCATCTACCTTCTTCTTAGCCTTATGCCCCGACACCATTGCTTCAAGAAGACTCACTTCGTCATCATCTGATTCCATCACAGCACTGACTCGCATTGATCCACATCCATTATCAATATCGACTATCCCATCATCCTCGTTAGATTCAGCATTTTCCTCATCGCTCTCCTGCCCTTGAATTCCAACACTATCCTTGAATTGGTTTTGTAAATCATTTACCCCATCATCTGCCGAAAAATAACCCTCCTCTTCTTCCTCATCCTTCCTTTCATTCCCTTCTGTCTCTTCATATTCTCTGTCTTCTTCACCAAATTCATCCCTCAATTCTGCCACTTTCTCCTTGTGCTTCTTAGACTGCTCGTGGTTCTTCCATTGCTTATCACTCTTGAACTTCTTCCCACAAGCTACACAATACAATTCCTTTCTCTTTGCATCCTCCTCTACCGCATCCTCACTCTCTTCACTCTCCACCTCCTCGACCTTCATCCACTCAGGCTCCTCATAGTTCCTTGCCTTCTCAGCCTTCTGTCTCTCCAACTCCTTCTTTCTCTGTCTTTCCTCCTCTCTCTTTTTCTTCATCTCCTCATTCCTTTTGGCCTGCATATCGAGGACTCTCTTATCCCTCTTTTTCACAAACTCTGCCAATCCCCTTACTGTTTCATTGTACTCCCTCTTTGCTTTTTTCCTCAACTTCTTATTCTCGTCCTCCATTACCCTTCTTAACTTCCTGTTTGGTCCAGCCATCACATCATACTGATCTACCCAACAAAAGTCCATAGATGTCGCAAACCCTAACCAATAGTTATAAAATGCAGTCACCTGCATACAAACATAAAATCAAAATATTAACTCCAACAGACATCTTCAAATGAAAATTAAAACCCCTAGTGACATGAGCTCCATCGTTGTATATTGATTAAGAAATATGGAATTTGTCATTAATAAAATATTCAAACGACCATACTAAAGTTTTCAATATCATTCATTTCTTTTATAAAGAACATAATTAAAATACTGCATAAAGATAATTGATAAGTGCTACGATCTCAAAAACAAATAGAACGTAAAAACAAATTAACATATTGTCAATAAAGTTAAATTCCTTGAGTCCTTCCAAAATCAACCTGATCTCCAAAATTTGACTGAATATATCAAAATTCTAAAATCAAAATTTGAAAAACAAAGTCATCTACAGTCCAGAGGTTACTAAAATAAGCAGCTACCCTGTTTCTCCATCCTCCAATCTGAACTTATCATTGCACACTTATTGATTTATTGTACTCCCTCGATACTGCATTTGCACAAAATTTCAAACAGATGCGGCATATACTTACCCCCCACCCCCCAACCAAGTTTAAAAAATAAAAATAAAAATCACTTTGCAGTGGGCAAACTTGTATCCACTCTATGCCAATTTATTTACAAGTATAAATTAAAGTATCTTGAATTAAAGTATCCTGACGTTTGTGTAGCCTAAAGTACAAATCTTGTTTTGTTGATGTGTTTGCAAGTACTTGGTTACAAATTGCCACAGTGATTGTTTGTTATAAATGAAAGTAATCTTCTTTCCATTAATTGTGGTTATTAATGATATAATCTTCAGTTCCAACTTCAAATTGTGTATTCTTTTCAAAACTAGTCCACACCCAGATAAATGAGAATACTGACAGCTATTTTTTTTTTCCTATTCTTTGTTTGGAAAATTCATCTACTCATGTGAACCATGCTTCACACGTGAAACTCATACAAATAATCAATAATCTCGTATTGAAACATGAAATTCAGAAGTTACTACAAATGCAAAAATTTAGAAACAAAATGATTGCTGCATCCGGATAGTTAAGCCATGTAATGATATTCATTAGCAGAGACAAAGTTAAAGTACGATTGAAACCAATGCTTACTAGCAAGATCGGATAATTTACAACCATGCAATTCTACATACTATGTCAACCTAATATCTAAAATATTGCAAAATTCTAAAACATATAACAACGTAACTGTGTACTGCATACATAATAGTAGAGGGAGCTGATAAATCAAACCTGAGCATAGGGACTCTCCAAATTGCCCATGACCGGAGCTTCCTTCGGCAATGGAAACCCCAACTTCTTAGCAAAATTGAATTCAGTAGCGTAAATTTTCTCAAATATTTCCCCGTATACGTTATAGAACCCCCTCCCGGAATCTGAATACCCGGAGTAAACCGAGTTGGAGAAGAAAGAGAATAAATCAGGGACAGGACCCGAGGTTTTGGAAGAATTGTTGGAAGAAAATAGGATTTCTGAACGATGGGAGTCATACCACGCACGCTCCCTCGAGTCGGAGAGAACCTCGTACGCGTTGACGAGCTCTTGAAAGGCGGCTGTGGCCTCGGCTTCGGGGACGCCGGACTGGACTAGCTTATCCGGATGGCGCTGGAGAGCCATTTTCTTGTAAGCCGACCGAATTTCATCGGGTGTGCAGTCGCGGTTCAAGCCGAGCACCTCGTACAGGCATCGCTTTTCCGACGATGCCATTGTTGAANCTTTTCCGACGATGCCATTGTTGAAGTTTTCAGCTAGGTTTGACGATTGGATTGCAAAATTAGGGTTTAGATAGGGGGAGTCAATTAACAGTTGCGCATATCCCTACCTAACAAATGAGGCACTTTTGGAATAACTGTTCACACTTTCGTCAGGTTGAAATGGCGTCGTTTTGGGATGGGATGGCCTTTTTTAGGCATGGCGTCGTTTTGGCGTGAAAAAAAATCTCAGTAGAAGAAGCTGCTAAAAGAACTCGTGCTGTGTTTCTCACAAGAAGAGAGAGAGTTTTGACGCTATTTTCTCGTTTTTAGGTTTCTTCGTTCATTTTAGCCTCTAACGTTTTCAATCCTAGATTTATCTCCACCAGCAGCTTCCCAGATCCTGTTTGCTAGAAGAACTCGTGCTGTGATTCTCACCAAATAAAAGAGAGGGAGAGAGTTTTGATGCTATATTTTCGTTTTTGGTTTTCTTCGTTCAGTTTCGTCTCTGACATTTTCAATCCTAGATTGTGGTTCCTTGTATCTCTACAGCAGCTTCCTAGATCCTGCACTTAGTTATAGATTTACAGCTAGAAGAACACGCTAGATGAACCTGTGCCGTGTAGAGGTGGTTTTTTCGTTCAGTTCAGCCTCCATTAGGGTTTTCGATCCCAGATCGTGGTTCCATGTAAGTGGATCATTTGCTTTCCAGATCTTGTACTTATTTATAGGCGTCCAGCTATTTCGTTTGATTTCAGTATGGGTTTTAAAAGATTTTGGTTATTTGCAGCTTCTGCTCTCCTTGGACCGCGTTTATGGAGGAACATCCGTCAGTTGTTGAAACTGTGCAGCCATTGCTCCCGTGTCACTGAGGACTCTTCCTTTCTGGTGAATTTGTTTCGTCATTTTTTTTTTTGGATTGAGCATGTTCTGTAATGATTTTTGTTTAAGTAGATTACTCTTATTCATTTCCTCATGAATTACCGTCCTTTACTCATTTTGATTCTTGCATTTAAAACCCTATTTCCTTGTACTCGGTTGATTCCTATTCGATTCTTCGAAATTATTTCCCAGAATGTCGTGTCATCTGGCTCTTGTTATAGAGTTATTGATTTAGGGTTAAAATTGAACGCCTTGCTGTAAGTTTTTCGTTGTTTGGTTTAGTTTTTATTGATTGTTACTTTTGTTGTATATGAAAATAAAGAATAAAAAAAAAGGTGCTTGAAAAACCAGCTGCTACAGCTGATTTGTTGATGTATTCTGATTCGTAGCGTGTGCAATCTTGAATTATTTGTTTGCCTATGATTGTTTTTTGTTATGGTTTGATCCTCCTATTGTTGTTAATTTATATTTATGGGCAAGACCAAGCCATTTCCCTCCTTCATGAAGTTTCTGCTATTAGCTATCACTGTTTTGATGAGAATTACGTCCAAGAACTCATCGAGAAGGCCATCTGGTTCTCGTTGCATGTATGTTCTTGATGTTTATATGTTTAGATATTATTTTGTGCTTTTGTTTATGTTTGGGGTTTTGTTTTGCCTTTTTTGAAGGCCACACTTTCTGTGATTAAAGTGGAATCGGGAAGTTTTCTGGGGTGGGTGTGTGTACCCAGTTGAAAGTGATTGAATTTTTAGAGTATATGTTTTGTGTTTTGTCAGTTTTTTGTTTAATTGTTCTGATTTTTTTTAAAAAATCAGAATTTTAAAGTTCAGTCGACTTTCTGATTGATGTGATTTTTTTTTATTATTGAGTATCTGTTGGCAGCAAAACTAATAGGTTAGTTTAAATTGTTTGAATGCTTTGAATTTATGATTTGAAATTTTTTTTTGACAAAATCAGTATTGATTAGTCTACAGTAATGTCCCGGTTTTCAACTTTTAGTTGCAGTTATTATTGTATATAGCAGGTTTCTATCCTGCCTTGTTTTTGAATTCATGATCAGTTATTTTACTGTATATTATGTTACGAATTCTTTAGTTTATATGTTTTGTAAAAGATTAAAAAAAAAAAAATCTTTGTGCACAATTATTAATTACACTACAATAATCCTCAACCTTTCATTTTAGTTGCTACTAATTTATTCATGGTGGTTTTTCCCAAATTTTCTTTGAAAATCAATCTTGATTTAATGGATCCCTTTTCGTATATTTTCCCTTTCTTCTACATCGATCTTGGCATTTGGATACAAGCATAAAGTTTTTTGCATTCTTGTATAAGAAATTTAGTTATATATATGTATATGTCATGTCCACCACACAAAAGAATTAATTTGCTTTATTTGTGTACTATATTGGTTTTTGATCTGTACATCGCATGAATAGATAGCAATGATGGTTGGTTGATTCTTTGTTGATCATTCATATATTTTCAGATCTTCAGACATAATAAGATTCGAACGAGTGGTTAGGTTGAACGACAACCTTTTGCACAAGATGGTAACAAAGAAAGCAACAGAGATGTTCCGAATATTAGTCGGTCAATGACGAAGAAACATGCTTACAATGAAAGACGTCGACAGATGTATGTAAAACGCAAAGAATTGGATCGACCATCTGGATATCAATTATTGAAATCCAAAAGAATCTCACAAATACAAGGCAAGTTTTATTATCACAAAATACATTTTCACACATTTTACTTATTGTACTATTTTGTTTAGTGTATTTTTTAACATAATTAATGTTCAAGGTTATAATGAACCTATATTTTTTCGTTTTTTATGATACTTTATGGTTTGTGTTCCGTCCAGCTGATCGGTGTAGTGACATAAGTTGTCTTATAGACGAATTACCTTCTACTTTGGATGATGTGATAGCAAATCCATTGCATGTTTTGAATGAAGGTATAAATTAAACGCAAATCTTTTATTTTTGGCATCTTCAT